TCGAATCTCACCAGGCTCAAGGTTGATTCAGCCTTCCATCCTTCTGAGGTGAGTAAAATGAGAGCCCAGATTGTTGCAGGCAATATGCTGACTCTGTAAATTGCTTAGAGAGGGATGTAAAAGCACTGTGAAGCGATATATAAATCTAAGTGCTATTGCTACTCTGTTTCTCCGAAAATAAGACCTCCCCAGATAATAAGCCCAATCAAGCTTTTGAGCGCATGTTCTAAAATAAGCCCTTCCCCCAAAATAAGGCCTCCTCGAAAATATTGCAACACAGCAGCAGCCATGAGGTGATCACACTCACCGCCTCCTGCACCTCGAAAATAATAAGACCTCCTTGAAAATGAAATAAGGCCAAGTACTTATTTCAGGGGTCAAAAGAAAATAAAACCCTGTCTTATTTTGGGGGAAACACGGTATTGCTATATCAAATAAAGTTAGCAATGGATAAACATCATTATTAAAATTGGTAAGAATGCCAAGATAGTAAAATCTTCATGCCTTCCTTTGTTAATTTATTCCAATATTTAATTTTATTCAATTTTAAATTCATTAATGTTGTTTGACTTTATAATCTTTTTCACTATATGTTGCTTTGATGATTGCTGAGATTCTCTACTGCTGTTTCTTCAGATAAATAAATAAACCAGATAAATAAATTCTGAGTTCAACTGAGAATAATGTATTGGGGCTATCTAATGTATATTATTTTTAATTTATTGATTGAGAATGTTAGTTTAGTATGCTATAATGCAGTTATACAGTTCTATAACAATGTTTGGATAGCTGAAATCACACAAATCATACAGTTGGAATGTAGATAAGACACAGTCTCAGTCCTGTACTCAGAGCTGAATCCTGACTGAAAAATATCAGATAATTTGATTTATGGCCACTCCTACATTCACACAAATTTCATCCCCATTTAAGTTCTCCTGCACTGGTTCTTTGAACCACTTTGAACAACTAGGAAATAGCTTGGCTGTGTTTCTTTTGCTTTTTCTGCTGACAAACCCACATCAGACCTTAATTTATTACCTTTGAGTTTCAGTAAACTATCTGGGATCAGGAGCTTGACTAATAAGTGATAAAAATGAACTGAATAAAATAGAAAATAAATGCGAAAATATAATATTAAAGATTCATCCCCCAAAAGTCAATCCAGATAAAAATTCCTGCAATCTTGCCAGTTGTAGCTCATAATTTGGAGATTTTCTGTGGGAAGGAAATTCTTTTGTTGCAGATTAAGAAGAATGCTTTCCTGTATATGCTTGTTTTTTCAGTTTGCTCTTTACGTATCTCTATGCTGAAAGAAGAAAGTAAGATAGAAAACAATGCCATCATCTTGACCTTTTCTCCTCCCTGCAAACTTTCTTTATCTTAATATCCTTTATTTCCACCTCTCTACCTCCCTTTCTGTCTAAGAAACCCTTTGTTTCATTTTTTCTTTTGACAATAACATACTTAATACTGAATATCTTTCAAGAGCTTGTTCCCTTAAAAATATTTTGATTATGTTCTATATTGTCTTTGTCATCTTTGCTGATTTGGGTTATAAAGCTCCAGACTGACATGGTGTGCAGTCTGGGGCTCCTCCTTGATTCATGATTCCTGCTTGTAAGAGCAGGTTGCAGTCATGACTAGGAGGACTTTTGCACAGCTTTGTGTTGTATGCCAGTTATGCCCACTTATACTGTTCCTGCATTGTGGGGCTGTGCTCTCGGTTACTTATGTCCTAGTCACCTTCCAATTGGATTACCGTAATGCACTCTACATGGTGCTGCCTTTGACGAAAATCCAGAAGCTTCAGTTGATGGAAAACACAGAAGTGCAGATAGTTATATACGCTTCTAAAACGATACATGTTATGCTTCTGCTCTACGATCTACATTGATTGCCAGGTCCAATTAGCGGTTCTGTGTCAAGTGCAAGAAATCAGGTTGTGTGATGTCTCATTTAGTGATCACGGTGATTCAGTTAACAGTGTCATCCAGTTATGCTAAACCAAATAACTGTACCATGCTATCCTTATCCACTGCTATTCTTCAGTTGATTGTTATTGCTATATAAGTATGTATAAAGATTTGACATCTTGTACAGGCAGATGATCTTCTTTGGGTTTCAAGTGTATATTAAGAATACAACAAGCCGCCATTCTTGCAACTGAATAGAATGTGTCAGGTGTTAACAAATTCTTGCTTAAGCAATGGATGTACTTGTTTTCTCACCATTGGCATGTTTTATATAATGATAATTTCCCTTGTTCTTGGGCTGTCAGAACAGCAACGTTAAATGTTAATCCATCTCTCCATTGATAAGAGTGATACTTTTATTCTGAAATTGAATTCACCATTCCTTTGATCAAACACTTGACATCCCAAACAAGAATAATGCAGTTGTCAAGACCTTGAGCAGGCAATCTTGTGCTCTCTAGACTTTTTACTCTACGACACAATACTTCGCTATTAGCGTTCTGGATTGAGTCTTAACCTTTTCCTCCCCATCCTTACTTGGATATCCTCCTGATGAATTCCAATCCCATACTGATAGATGATCTTTTACATAAATGTTATATAAGAATGGAGAGAGTATAACCTTGCAAAATCTTGTATGCATAAACGTTTACCTTTGTTGCTAATTCTATCCTATTTAAACACATGTTATAAAACTGAAATAGATCAAAACAGTATTAAACTATTTTGGAATGTAAATAATAGCATTTCTCATCAGTGTGTATCACTGTATTTTTCTTCCCTTATCTCAATAGGAACACCAATATATTCAGTAGCATGGGGTCCAGATTCTGAAAAAATTATTTACACATCAGGAAAACAACTGATTATCAAACCACTTCAGCCAAATGCTAAAGTTTTACAGGTATAATTAATATAGAGTATTTAATAATTATAATGATTGCAAAATGTTGAGTGAACAAAACAGTACTCTTCATCTTACCTTTGTTGTGTAAAACACGGTGATGTATAGCATTCAGAGAATATGTTGATAGAATTGTCACCATTTATTTCAGAATTGGTATTCAGAAGTACCTGCTGTACAAAAGCTTAGGTTCTAATCCTAAACTAGACAAATTGAATTAAGTTAGTTATTACTTTACTACTTAATACATGCCATCATGCTAACTTAAAAAAGTAAAATTACAGCTAAGATGAGTGGACTTCAAGTCGCAGAATTCCCCTGGCCAGCACAAATCTTAAAGTTGCTGAGGTTGAAAAACAGTGCCTTAATCACTACACCAGGACAAGGGACCAGCATTAAGTTAATCTGAAATTAGATTACAAATTGTCATCTAATATGAAAGTTTAATTCTGGAAAATGTGCAGGGGAAGAGGATTAACACCTGTTCGGGGAAGAACTGTAAAAAATAATGCAAAGTACAGTATTAAACAAAGTGAAACAATTATGGAAATTGTATTTAAAGTAGTTCAATATCTTAGTAAAATTAGCATGTAGAAGTAGAGCTACCTGGAAATATGCTAATTGAAATGGTTGCTAAATAATGGCATCAAGGGTCCATTCTATTTTGTGAGTTTATTGTTTCAATTATATGTAACAGAGTTGTACTAAGATGTATTTTAAGTTTCAATTAATCAAATACATAAACATGTTTTATACAATCTAAGTGAAAGCAATCTTTTTGCAAACTGAAGTTCAATTTCTTTTCGTCTATATCAGTGGTGGGTTCCGGGCAGTACTGCCCGTGGTAGCTGGGAGCAGCGGCTACCGTACCGGAATGGTGGGCCATTTGGCCCGCCTGCTTTTCTTACCGCTTTTTGAGGCAAACGGACCAATTGCGCACACGCACACAGAGTGCGGCACCTGCAGCTGAGTGTCGCTGGGTGGTGGCGTGCTCATGTGTGCCCAGCTTACATGCCCGCCTAGGATGCTCGGCCCCGTCGCAACATACCGGTTGCAACGGGATCCGGAACCCACTACTGGTGTGTACACATCAAATATTTTGACTAAAGTACTATTTATTTAAAACTAACTTCCTTAATATTATACCTTATTGATATTTAGAGCTCTTAGGACTTTACTTTAATTTATTGTCATTATGTATATACACAGTTTACACATTCAAAGAAATTCACATAACACCCAGAGACCAGGCCCAACACACATAACAATCCCCAAATACCCCCACCCACCCACCAAAGAATTCCCTGCCCCTAAACCACCCAAACATCCACACAACAGACCAAGTAATTCTGTCCAATAGCTCACTGATAGTGGCCCTTTAGTTAATTGTTGAGTGCAATTATAGCTCTGGGGTAAAAGCTATTCAGAAGACGTGTGGTCCTAGTTTTAATTGTTCTGTGTCTTCTGCCAGAAGGCAACAGTCTAAAAAGATTGTAAGCAGGATGGGAAGTATCTCTGAGAATGTTATACAACTTCCTCAAACAGTGAGATGCGAAGATGTCATCCAGGGCTGATAACTGGAGGCCGGTGATATTCTAGGCAGTTTTAATGATTCTCTGTAGAGCTTTTTTGTCCGCTGCAGAGCTGCTTCCATACTATGCAAGAATGCCATATATCAAGACAATCTCAATAGTGCTGCGATAGTAGGACAAAAGTAGGTGCTGAGATAGATTTATCTTCCTTAGCATTCTCAGGAAGTACAGCCTCTTCTATGCCTTCTTCACAAGTCTGTTAGCATTCATGGTCCATGAGAGGTCCTCCAAGATATAAATGCCCAGAAATTTAAAACTATCAACCTTCTCCACCTTCCCGCCATTTATGTACAGTGGTAAACGTACATCTCTCTTCCTATTGAAGTCAATTATAAGTTATTTAGTGGGTGTTAAGTGTTGGGTGTTAAGTGTAAGATTATTTTCTTTACACCACAATGTCAGCCCTTGTACTTCCTTCCTATAAGCAGACTCATTGTTCTTATTAATGACCGCCATTACTATTGTGTCATCGCAAATTTAATAATTGTGTTGGTGTTATACAATGGGGGTACAGTCATGTGTGTACAAAGAATAAAGGAAGGGGCTTAGCACACAACCCTGGAGAGCTCCTGTGCTTAATATCAGAGTAGAAGAATGATGAGATCCCATCCTTACTGACTGTGGCCTATCTGTCAGAAAATCCTTTCTGTACAAATAAATCCTCTGATTTATACCCAAATTGGACATTTTAAGAAACAACCTATTGGGTAGAATGGTGTTAAAGNAATAAACGATTAGATTAATTTAGTATAATCCACAAATAGCAACCTTACATATGTTCCCTGTTGTTCCAAATGGTTGTAATACAGTATGGACAAAAATACAGCATCATCAGTTGATCTATTTCTCCTATATGCGAATTGGTATGGATCCAAAGTAGATGGAAGACTAGCCTTAATATAGATCAACACCAGTCTCTCAAAACATTTCATGACAACAGATGTTAAAGCTATTGGTGTATAATCATTACGAGACACCACTACCGTCTGCTTAGGGACTGGCACTATAATGGATGTCTTCAGGCAGGTAGGGATGGAGCACTGCAACAGGGATAGATTGAAAATATCTGTGAACACTTCAGCTAGCTCTGCAGCACAGTCCCTAACAACTCGTCCTGTGATTCCATCAGGCCCATCTGCCTTCCGGATGTTGACATTCTGGAAAGTGTGTCTCACATCAGAGATCTGCAGTAGAAGTGGTTGTCTGTCAATGGTAGGTGTTAGCAGTGTACTATCTGTGGTAGATGCTGGAATGATGGTCGTTCCTGTTTCCACCTCAAAACGGCTGAAAAATTGATTTAGCTGTTCCGCCAAAGAGACATTACTGGTACACAAACTATTTTTATTGCTCTGTCCCGTGATTTGTCGCAGACCTTGCCATCACCGACGAGAGTCTGAGTTCTCAAAAAGATGTTCAATCCTCCGACTGTACATAGCTTTAGTATCCCTGATGCCCTATTTTCTCTTGTCCCAGAGAGGAAACCTCTACCTCTCACTCCTATGCTTTGCCTCAGTGGTCTTTCAAAGGCTCCATATTGAGAGTCGAGAATCAAAGAAGCCCACAGCCCCAATACACACTGGAGAACAAACCACAATTGGACCTAACCCTAACCTTTTGGGAAGGAGAGAAGAAAGCATACCCTTCAGTGGTGGGATTCAATATTTTTTTTACTACCGGTTCTGTGGACATGGCTTGGTGGGCATGGTGTGGCTTGGTGAGCGTGGCTTGGTGGGCATGGCAGGGGACGAATACTGCAAAATCTCCATTTCCTCCCCACTCCAGGGAAAAATCTCTATTTCCTCCCGATCAGCTGCGACTCAGGAGGCAGAGAATAGATGAGGGAGGGGCCAGCCAGAGGTGGTATTTATCGCTTCTCCAAACTACACAAAATTTCCGCTACCGGTTCTCCAGAAATCATACTGTTCTGGTATCCCAGAAAGACCAACCATTCTGGCAACCATCCCACTGAAATTCTGACACCCAGGAACATGCCTGCAAGGACAGATGGTGCCAGAGATGATCCAGAAAGTATGTGCAATAGAATTGACTCAAAATTTTCTATCAAGAAAGGCCAAAGACTGATTTGCTCCAATCCCCATTGGTGAGAACAAAGAAATTTGGTCCTCAGGATGGAGGATCCAGAATGCAACTCAGAGCGATCCCCAGACAAGTTAGTCTTCTGCAGAGGGGGAATTATGAGAAGGGAGTCTATGAACTGAAGAGTGGGACAGTTTGGGAAACATAGTTAGTTAGGTAAATTTGCATGTTTGATGCTATGCCTTTGTTTACCTTAGTCAATTAAATAATCAAGTTTGCATGTTTGATGCCATGCCTTTGTTTACCTTTAGTTAAAAGTTAGTTGACAGTGGAATTTATAATTCCAGGCAGGGAGTGTGCTGCCCCAGCAGTATATAGATAGTGCAAGGATTAAGCGCTGTCTCTTTTAAGAAACTACCTCCTGGAAAATGTAGGCAGACACTGCCTTATGGGAAATGTAGTTCCATGACATGTGATCATATCTGTGTTTCTGATTGGCCACTGGGGCATTCTGCCTGCATGCAGAGACAATAGCTGATCATTTTGAATATCAGCTTGGACTCGGGAAGCAACATCTGTGCCTCCTCTCTCAACATGGGAGCAAAATCACCATCTTTTTACACCATGTGATGAGACAGATTATGGAAAGTCAAAGGTATCTTAACACTGAACTGTAACTTTTGATATTAAGAATGCCTGATAATAAACTTGATCTGAATAAGATTCCTAAGCATGGAGTTAACTGCAAGCTTTCATTGCTTGAGGCAGAACAGTAAGCTAGAAGCTTGAAGAAGCAGAGTTAAGTCTTTTTTGGTGGGTCATCTTCTAATAAGTCCAACAACTAGACATGAGAAAACACAGAGAATTAAGAACAGCTAGAACCGGGATGGCGAACCTATGGCATGCGGAGCCATTTGTCAGGGCACACAAGGTGTTTTCCTGTCAGCTAGCCAGCGCGCATGTATGTCCTGCCAGCTGACTTCAGCCTTTTTTTTTTTTGAGGCCATTTTTTGCCCACCCAGGCTCCAGAGCCTCCAGGGCGCAAAAAACTGGCCCTATGTGCAAACCGGAAGTTCGGGAATGGGCTTTGCTCCTAGGGCCGGTTTTAGCCCTCCGGAGGCTTCCCTCAAGGCTCTGGAGAGCAAAAAATGACCCTACGAAGCCTCCTAAAGGCTCCGGAGGACTAAGAATGGCCCTACGGACAAACCGGAAGTGATTTCCGGTTTGCTTGTAGGGTCGTTTTTAGCCTCCAGAGAGTGCAAACCAGAAGTCCATCCCCAAACTTCCAGTTTGCCAGTAGGGATGGTTTTTTGTGCTCCGGAGGCTTTAGGGAAGATCCTGAAGCCTCTGGCGGGCGACCGGGAGCAGGCGGGCAGGGGAGGCTGTTTTCGCCCTCCCCAGGCTCCTATAAAGCCTCTGGAGCCTGGGGAGGGTGAAAAAGGCATGCAAAAAATGGGGGGGGGGGTCGCACTGGTCACACACACATGCACGCTGAGGGTCACGCATTGCATTATGGGTGTGGCATGCCCACGCATGACCCCCCTGTGCTGCCCCCCCCCCCCCC